TTTAGCTCTGCTACTTGAAATCCTTTTAACTGGAGATACAAAAGATTATTCTTGCATAGTATGTCTTCCACCACTGACATACAGCCAATCGCAACTTAGCCTACCTCGTAAGTTGGTTATAAAGAAAAATGGTAGGAATTCCTCTGTACCTAAGCTTAAATTGATGAAATTGCAGGATCCAAATGTAATTAGGAATGATAAAATTGCTTTCCTCATCCACTTATTTTTGTAAACTGTTTGGAGGTGAAAAAGTAAGAGTGGCACAATGATAAAAGCAACAACTATTTGGAATTGTTGGCAAATATCAACAGATTGAGTTTTAGAAAAACAGCAATGCCCCATAAGTCCATACTGTAAGGACTGACTGCCTAGAGTCTGGCCTGGGTGTTCACAAGCATGGTGCAGCTATTACAGGATGTCAGAAAATGTGGTTAATTGGTAGTGATTAGGGCTGTCTGAAAGCTGATTCCCTGAGTTTTTAGAACATATAATTGTTCAGTGCAATCCAGGGCGGCAGTGCTCTTTCATCTCTATGAAGAGATCAGAAAAGGGAGATTTACAGCTTAGTTTGCCCCGAGCCACACATAGCTGGCTTAATTTTTCTTTCCAAGAGGATCTAAAGATTGTTGTTGTGACTAGTTCTGTGTTGATTATATGTTATTTTGAGGTCACCTGAGAGTTGTTTTGGTTAAATGACTGACTGACTAAAATTAATGATTCTGTCAGGGTTATAATGGAGGTAAGATTGAGGACATGTTAAGTACAAAAGCTAAAGCAATTCTTGTAAGACCGCTTGCATACGCCCTTTTCATTTTTTTTTTTATTAAAAAAAAGTTTAAAGGAATCAAGGAGGATATATATATCTAGACTGATGGTATTAGGGTGGCAACTGCTCAAAAATTAATGGCCTGAACTGATTTTCATCCTCTTGGCCAGCTGATAATCAAAACAGAATGATCCAAAACCAAAAAGAAAATAGCGTGTTTGTTGTTGGTTGGTGCATTTATAGATGGCCTTCTAGAAAATGTGTTGTGTACAAGCACATGAACACACACACAGTGAGAGAGAGAGAGAGAGAAATGATTGGATTTCAGTGACAACGTGCTTAGAAACACCACATCACAACAGGGATTTATTTTGAGCAATACAGAGAATTCTTATTTGTAATTGTGACAGACAACCACACTTAAGATGGGTCAAAGGTGGGTTTACAGGGGTACACACTGGCATGGAGCCTTGGGGGTGCTGCAGGGGAACCCACAACTATGATGCCGAATGGAAAGCAAGAGGCGGTAGTGGGCACCAAATTTTGGGGTCACACAGGGTGCTGCACTGATTCCCTTCTAATATTTGAAAGGTTTAATTTGTAGGCCACTTAGTACATCAAACAAGCCTATTTCAACAATTACCAAAAGTTCTGTACAGACTAAAAGCTTAAAATAGGAAATATTTTCCAGTCTATATCCATTTTTTGTTACAAATCATTCTAAAGAAGCAGTGTGAACTATATAATCATTCCAGCTAGAGCTTTACCAGGCACTACCAAGTTACTTGGCAGACATAAAGTTATCTCTCTTAATAAAGTCATTTTGCAGCTGGGAAAATAAAACTTTAAAGGGTAGTAAAATGTTTTCTTCTGCAAGTCAGAAAGTTTTTTTACGATTAGCGTGCAAAGCTCTTTCTCCCGTGGGAGTTTCAGTGTATGTGTGGGCAAAGGTTCACTGAATATAGTAGCAATCTTTCTCATGCTCGTGGTTTGATGATCTTTATTTATTTATTTGGCTTAACTTCCGGTTGAAGTTACAAGAGACTCATTGAACAAAGTCTTTGCTTTTGCAAACATAATCATTTATACATATAGATAGTAATATTCCACACTTTGATCATTTATTTGAATGATTTGGGTAGCATTTCTTGACGGTGAAGCTGCACTGTTGAGATTTTATGTAATGGAATTCCTTATTATGAAACTTGTAATAGACGTTTTTATATAAAAATATGGCATTACAGATCTAGGTAATTTCAGAGGCATCTAGAATTATACCAGTTTTTTGAAAGCATATAGATTCCTCACTCCAAACTTAAACTCCTGTACTTTAAATAATAATGATGATAAATGATAACAACTATATATTTTGGAAAGTTGTTTGTTTGGTAGCATTTGGTCAACTCTTTTGATATCGTAACCAAAGTTTGCATGATGGCTCCTGAGATCAAGGAGCAGGTTTTCATCTATGTTTGGATACAATTGGACACCATCTTGAATCAAGGTGCTAGGCCGAACCTTTCAAAACTGCACCAATTTAAACCCCTGCTTTCAAAACTGAACAGTTTTTTTTACTTCTCAGAGTTCCTGAGCCACAGGGAGTATGAGGCTGCTCAAAATAAATAAGGGGAACAATTTTGCTGGCCACCTGTGTATGGAGATGCATGTTCATAGCTCCATAGTGAAAGATTGAAGTGTGTCCTATGTTTTAAATCTTTTTCGGGGGGGGGGGATTAAAAGGGCATAGAATGTTAATCAGCCAAAAGAGGAATGCTTTCACTTGGCACCTAAAAATTTATAATGAAGGCGCCAGGTGAACCACCTTGGGGAGAGGATTCCACAAATGGGGAACCACCGCAGAAAAGGCCCATTCTTGTGAAGCCACCCTTTGGACCTCTTGTGGCATTGGGGGTATCGGGAAGACTTAGACTTTCCAATGCTTATTTGAGAATGCATTGCATAGTTATTAGGAAAGCTGGCAAGTATATATTGAGCCAGGTTCATGGGCTCTTAAAATACCACCTCAAATGAATGGTGAACTTGTAAAACTTAAATTCTACTCCAACGGGAGTTAAAACCTGAGCCAGAAAGCAATTTCTAACTTACTCCTATTCTACATCTCTGCCATCCTTCCCTGTAGCCAAAAGCCTTCCCTGTCAAACCCACAAATTCATAACGCACCCCTTTCCTTTCTTCAGGGGAGAGAAGAGATTTTCTTTCTTTCTTTCCTTCCTCCTTGCCTCTTGCACCAGTGCCTTTCCTGTCAGTTGAGGTTGTATTGTCATCCACGGACTCTGAGGACTTCAGTTTGGAAGTCCTAGTAGCACCACAGTCTCCCCCCTCCACTGTTCTGCCAGAGTCAATTACTGCTAAAGCAAGCTGAATCTCTTTAAAGGTTCTCAAGGAAGGCAGAGGTTCATAGAGCTGTCCAGGGTGCCATGGAAGCCTTGTCTCTATACTGCTGAGAGGCAGTTGCTCGGAGCAGAATACATACCGGGTCAGATCATCTAGTGCAGGCAACCTGGCTCCAAAAGTGGCCAACTCACAACTGGGCATGGAAGCATCAGCCCTCCCCTGTTGTGCTGTTGGTATTTGCCGGTAATAGGCATACTGCCTCTGACTGTGGAAGTATCCTGTTTACCGTATTTTTTGCTCTATAAGACGTACCAGACCATAAGATGCACCTAGTTTTTGGAGGAGGAAAACAAGAAAAAAAATATTCTGAATCCCAGAAGATGAAGGCTCCCTGCTGCCCTGAAGAGGCTGCACGTGGCTAAGCCAGGAGCTAGAACAGCGAGAGGGAGCGCTGCGCAGCGATCCCTCTCGCTGTTCTGGCTTCTGGGATAGCTGTGCAGCCTGCATTCGCTCCATAAGACGCACACACATTTCGCCTTACTTTTTAGAAGGGAAAAAGTGTGTCTTATAGAGCGAAAAATATGGTAGGTATCATGGCCAACAGCTGCTGATAGACCTATCCCTTAATTTGCCAAATCAATTTTAAAGCAGTCAAAACCATTGACCACTGCCATGTTGCAATTAATACTACAACCTTGGCATTTGTGTTGTGCTCCGTGGGACAAGCAAAAGGGCACCCCCCCCCCCGGGCAAAGGAGCTGCATATGGATAAGATACACGTGGAGTCTCCGAACATGATTTAGAATATGCACATCACTCCCACTGCAGCCTGTTTTAACCATTAGAATATCTTCTCTTGTGTTGATCCAATGAGTATATTTTTCCATTTAAATGATTCCAAGGATGGACACTTTTTATAGCTGCATTATGATGGACACTGCACATCTGAGATTAGAAACTGGCCCTCTGTCTGTAACTATGATAGGACTTTCCACTTATACCTGCCTTCTCCTGCCCATTTCCTCAATCCTGTTTTCTTTCATTCCTGCCACAAAGAATGTCATAAATTCTCCATCTGTGGCTGTAAATTTGTCAGCCTTTTCTTGAAATAAGACTGTGGTCCCTGTTATAAAAAACAGAAGGTTGGATGCGGGGAGCAGCCAGCATAATTTTGACTGATTGATCTGAGGCATTTAGCTTTTCAAAATGGAAATACAGAATCAACAGTTCCTAAAGGGCAAACGCAGTAAATAACTCTGAGAATCAAGTGACTGTTTTAATATGTGCTTGGTGGATTTGCTTGAACCATTTATATAAGAATAAAATAAATTTAACTTTCTCGGAAGTGTCGGGAGTACACACCAAAGGGAAATTTGCTTTAATTACCCTGTCAGGGTTATAGAGCTAACAGGGTTTTTATCCTTCCGAGGAATCCCGATTCAGTCTCTAAACTTTTTATGCAATTGCAAACCTGGGTCTGGGGAACTGTAACCTTTTCCTCATCCATGTTCAGAAAAGGTCTTCCACCCCATCTTTTATTCCCCACCTCCCTGGGTTCATTTTCAGTAACTTAGGGCATTGTAGCAACCAAGGAAATGCATGTGGGCGGAGAGGGGGGAATCTGAATCTTGAAAATGAAATTTTCACATGGAATTTCCTCATTGTGTTAAGATTGGTGTTCAAGAGTGTCTGCTTGCAATTTTCTTCTCTGCACTTAGAAGCCCTGTTTCTTTACTTCCAGATGAGTTGAATGTGGCTGTAGGTAATTGTTATTTAAGGAAATGAACTCTATATATGCTCAGCTGTGTTCTGCTATTGCTTCCCTTGGGGCTGAGCTCCATTTCAAATGAATCCCTGAAAACTCCACAATCCAACCATGGCCCTTTGTGGTGAGGTGGGGGAGCTCACAGATTCATTCGTTTATTGCAGTTATTTATAGCCCACCTTTCAGGATGCAAATCCAAGGCAGCTTACAAGAACCATGAAAATGCATTAATAGAATCACAATAAATAATCTCAAAATATAGCAAGTAAAGCTGTTTCCCACAGGTCTGGTGAGGGTAGACCTGCATTGCCTTGTTTAGAGAGATGCTTCTGCTTTTGAATGGGGAACTGGATGTTGAATTAAGCCAACTGCGGAATGCAGGATGGACCACATGATTCAGTCCTTCAACACAAAAAGAAAAAGAGAAATGTCTGAGTGTCATTGATATGCCATTTCATCTTGCAAAAGACAAAAAACATGCCTTTTTTCAGCTGGAACTCACTGGAACTCAGTTCCGGCACCTCTCAGGTGGGTGTCACTGCCATTCTAAGAGAACAAGGGAACAAGTGTTCATAATGAATTCCAGCACCTCTTTTTCTTAAAAAATAGGACTGCAAAAAAGCAATAAAAGAAAATAAAAATCAATGGAAAATAAGGGGTTCTTTTCTGCACATCTCATATTATGAATTTTGATCAAGCTTTATTTTATTATTATTGGGTTTGTTTGTTTTTATAGGGAATGGAATAACAGTGTAACTCTCTGAGAATTACTGAATAGGCATTCTATCCTTTACTAGTATGTGGAAAGTGTAAGGCCTCGTTCTCATTGAGATGGTAAGCCTGTAGCTGGACTGTGATTGAACAGTAGTAAAACATTCCCTGCATACACAAAATCTAGCATATCAGAGATAAAGATTCTAGCCTAACCTTCTCCCTGGCCTGCTAATTTTCTCTCTCTGGGAATTTTTTCTTGTTTGTTGTGTTCTCTGATTGAGAGCATGCCAAGTGAGGCCTACCAACCATCTGAAAGGGGTACTGTCGGGCCGCCATTTAACACATTTAGCAACAGCTAAGCTTCACTGTATTGTAATATATGTCTTCTCTGATTACAGTGCTAAACTGTAGACATTTATGCTTTGATAGCTCCCTGGTTTAAAAAAACATCCAGACTCAAGGTGTGTGTCATTTTACAAATGTCACACCTAATAAAGTCTGTTTATCTAACAGCAAAATTTTATTAGCCTAATATGAAGGATTGGATATGCAAACTTCAGAGTTTGTAGATGTACAGTATGAGGTATGTTTTCATTTCATCAGTTGTTGCATAATTTATCTTATACACATACATTTAGTAGTCACATGGGTTTTTGAATTTAAAAAAAAAATCAGTTTCTTTTTTTAAAAAAAACAGTAGTTTTTTTGCAGAGTTGAACCTAAACAAAATATTATTATTATTTTTGAAACACTGACTAGGCTTACTGTTTTCAGCTTTGCTCAGAAGTTAATCCATCTCAACCACAGAAATAAAATTAGCCGAACAATTAAAATTGAAAAAGCCACTTCATCAGTTGGTTAACTGAACTGTGGTTTTTTTTTAAAGAGTGCAATTTTATGCGTCTCTAGTGAAGTCTAAAAACTGCCAATTAAAAAGTCATTAAAACATAGTTAGGTTTGAAAGGATGTTTGTCAGCTGAAATAATTGTTAAACCCTGCCGAAAATGGCTCTAATTCATGTAACTGTACCTACTCAGGAAGGCTGTTTTGGCATAGAGGCTCTTAATCTTTTGTTGCTTATGAGGCCATTTGCACAATACGAAGAACTATCATGCTCTCTAGTAGTGTTCACAGTGAATTCTGTAATTGGGGGACTGAGAAACAAACTTCTGCTTTGGAATTCCTCAGCCCATTATGACATGAGCCCAAACCCCTTCCAGAGTTTGTATCTGGTTCATTCTGAGGTTGGCTCATGCCCCAAACTGGTGCTTTCCATTGACGGGTGGAGCTCACTTCTTTATTTTGTCCCAGTGTGTTGGTGGGGGTGACTGTACACTAGAATGGACCAACAGACTCCTTGCCCTAGGTCTGAAGTCACAGCCAGCCCAAGACATTTTGGTGCATGAGGCGAACCACAAAATGGTGCTCTACTCCCTTCTGGAGAAGAAAGGGTGAATGAAGATCTACATCAGGAACAAGGGTGGGGAAATGAAGATCTCCATCAGGGATCTGTTGCTCCTGTGGATCCTGCCTCCTGAAACTGTTGCTTCACCTTGCCTCATGTGTGGGCCGGCCCTGCCTGAAGTTAACCCTGTTGTATCTGCCATACCTGGGTGCATGAGGATCAGTATTTACACGGTAACTTTAAGTGTGTTAACAGTGAGAAATCAATGGCCTACTTCGTTGGCTCCTAAGAGGATCAATTAAATTTAAATGATTTGGGGGGCTTAACAGAACTAAGTTTTGAAGTCTTGCATTTCTGAAAAGCACTGAGCAGCATACACTTTACCAGCCCCGTCAGTAGAAGCCCTGCCCAAGGACCCTCACTTGCGCAATGGGGCTTCCCCACCTTCTCTTCCTCCTGCATGTCCCCATGCCCCTCAAAATTGGCTTAGGGGATTGGAAGAACACATAGAACAGCATTCAGTGTGTATGTGTATAGTTCTGTTTGGAATACCTGTGTGAACAGAATGACAGGAAGAGTGTGGTGTTGAATTCCACCCTGTATGTTTAACTTGCTCCTGAATTGTCTTATTTTTGTGTGTGTGAGTTACATTGTAATGGTCATTGGATACAAACAAGAAAAATCTGACTGACAATATGTGAATGGGGCAGCAGAAGTGGTGATGGCCAGGATGACCACTGGTCCACCACTGCAGCTTCCCTCCATTGCTGCTGGCCTTGCTGAACCCAGTGCTGCCACCGTCTTCACCTCATGACCTCTGATGTTGACATTGGCAGAAGGCCCCCAAGGCAATAAGAAATAATAAAGTGAATGGCTGTGGAAGCATCTGTAACTGCCTTGCCCAGCTCATCTCCACAGTGTTGGGTGATTTGGCATTCTTTTTTGAAAGTGGCCATAGCCTTTACCTTGACCATACCTCATGCTGATGCCAGCTCTTCTCAAAATCGCCACCTCTAAGATGCTTTGTCACCCACAACATGAGAGATATGGGAATCCTGTATCTTTCTTCCTGTGAATGAAATAGCAGTTTGGGATAGATGATTTCCAAAGCAATCCTACCTGCACCAGGAGTCTGCCTAGCGGGGCTTTGATGTAAGTGCTGCTACACTGGCAAAGAGGAGCTCCACTGGTGCCTTGGAGGAGCTCCCAGTATGCCGAGGGAAGGCTCTTTCTACATGGAGGTACATGCAGTACAGCAGTGGGGCCTGAAATGGGTCTGGAACAGTCATGGATGCACATGATACAAAGCACCCTTGTTTTCCTAGCTTGCCCCTTCCAGATGACTGAGACCAGCCTTGGTGCTAACATAGTTTACTTCCCAATTATGTCAATGGAAGGGATATTTTTTAAAAAATGGAAGAAGAAAAAATGGGGCAATGCTACCCTACTCCACCTTTTGCCATGGCAGACTATAAGAAGTGATATCTCTGCCATGGATTCCTCCTGTTCCATAGGATTGCTACTCTCAAGCTTAAAAATGACTGCTGGGAAAAGAGTTAAGCAGTGCATCCTTTTCTGTTTTGAATCACAACATGACTCATATACTGATTCTGACTTTAAAACAAAACTACAGAGGTAAAATAACAAGAGAAGCCACATAATGTGGAGTTTGACTCTCTTGAGTGCTGGAGAGCAATAGAAGAAGCTACTTCTTCCCAGTTAGATTCAGATTCCTGGTGAAAATCAGAACTGCATTCTGAAGTAGTTGTATATTTGAACACAGATACTTAATTAAGAAAAAACAGATCCTTTACCTTGAGATTGATTTTTTTTTGGGGGGGGCACCTGAGTTCTCGCAGGGAGACAATGAAGGGCAGACCTTTTCAGTGTTTATGAAATTATGCATTGTATGGCCAAAAAAAATTAATTTTTTCCCCCTCCACAACACAAATTACTAGAACTTATATTCACCTCCCAAAATTGATAGGCAGTAAATTCAAGGCAAACAAATTAATAATTAGAGATGAGCACTTTAAAGTTCCCCTTGGAATACTGAGAAATTACCTCAAATCCCCATCCGTAATAACAGAATCTTGTATTTTACCCAAACTAATCTTACCTACCAGTCTGCATCTTATTTCATGAAACGGCATAAATTCACTCTATTAGATTATATGGGTGGGTGTAAAATACCGAATGGGCAAAATTCAAGGGAATGGAGCCCACAAACACAAACGATCTGCAGAAGGTGGGTTTCCAAAACCCCTGAATTTTATTCCTGCAGCATTTTCACTCTATTGTGTATAATGAAGCCACGTCACTTAATTAACATGAAATAGCAGAAATTAAGATGCAAACCTGAAGATTCTGGGGGATCCCACCCCTGGAGATTTTTCCATGCAGAGGTTTTGCCTCTGTGGAATCTCTTTCCCCCTTTTGATTGGAGTGGAGCAGTGTTTCCATTCAATAGGTAAAATTGAGAGGCCAGGAAAGCCTGCGTCTTCTTCTCTAGTTCAGATTTTAACCTGAGCCATAGAAGAATTTGGTGCCCAGTAAAGCACACATCTCCTTTGAGTCAGAATATAACAAGCTCCTGAAGTTGTTTCTTGAACCTCTACTCATAATTAACTATTGGAAATTGCAGCTGCCTCTGGCTTTGAAGGCTTTAAAAGGGGATAAGGCAAATTCATGGGAGATAGGTAATAGCTTGTAATGGCTTGATGGAACCCACAAACTATATGGGGTTCTTATGACTTACTTGCTCTTATCTTTAGGCTTTCCAGAGGTAACCTGGCTGCCACTTGTGGGAAAAGGCTTGTGGACTAGATGGGCCTTTGGCCAGATTCATCAGGATTCTTAGTATGTTCTTATGTCACTGAAGTGGTTAATGTTACATAGTATTGTGAGTATTATTGGATTTTAAAAATCCTATACAAACTACTTCATACAAAAGAAGTTATTTCCACATGATTTGAAACTTCCTCCTATAATTTTGTTTTGTGTCTCCGTTTTGTCACTTGTCACACACATCAAAAAGTGCTTCATTTTAACTCTAAGAAACAACCGATGAAAGACAATCCAGGAACAAAACAAAAAAGCCATACAATTACTTACATTTTTAAAGGGTTCTCTCTTTTTTTGACATCTGAATTTTAGAAACAAGTTTCAGAACTTCCTTTTTTCCTGGAAGGGAAGACGTTTGCTTTTCGGAAGCCATTATGGGGCAGTATTGAATGTCTGAGTTTAAAAAAACAACAAAGAGCAGCAGCAGAAACAATAACTAAGCACCACCACCCAAAAAACCCTGCCAACCCCCAAACTTTTAGAATTGCAAAGGCAGCATTGCTCATCCCTGTGTATGATCATTTCTTGAGTTTCTGCTCTATGAGCTGAAATTGCATGCACAACCCAATTAATAAAGGTCCATGGGAGGCAGTGAGCCATTTCTGTGGCATGAGATACAATGCATTTGTAATTTGTAGGCTGGATTATTGCGGAGATTATGGCGACTGTTGTTCTATTCTAAAGCAACAATTATATACATGGCACACGGTATCTTAGCAATAAAATCCCTACTCTGAAGAGTTTACAATCTAGATTTAAGGAACAGGGGAGACAACAAACTGATTGAAGTGCTGCAGCCATGCCTCACTCTCAATAGGACATTGCTGTTTTGTTTTGTTTTTTGCTATCTTTGCATAGAAGCACCACTTGGAGTTCCAGGTATGGAGAAGAGGCAAGAAAGAAAGAATGGGGTCAGTTTAAAAGGAGCAGGAGACAAGAGGGTGGTGGAGTTGGAGGAGTGATGACTGACAGACATGGACACGGGAGATAGGGCATTGTGGATAAATAAAGAAAGAAGAACATTTGGTTCTGTTTTATACAGCTACACATTTAGAACAGAATTAGATAAAGATTGCTGAAAGCTGGGTGAGTGACGGAATTGCCTTCAAACCATGCAGTACTAGCTTGGAAAGTCATTTGTGCATTAAGGAAAGCAAAGGAGCACCACCCATGATGGAGCTGAGCAATTGTGTCCAGCGCACAGTGTCACACGCTTTCATGATAACTGCCAGCAATTTTAGTCGATTACAGAACTGTACGTCCTAATAAAATACAAATACAAACATCTTCTTTGTGTGTGAGGACCTGTATAAGGAAGAGAACAGCATTTCCATAATTGGCAACTGAAAGGGAAAATGTTTAAACACAAGTTGCAGTACAGTAATAGACACCTGTATAATATGTCTACATACTTTTGGATATGTGTTCATTTTAAGATCTTATCTTCCTGGTTTAAAAAAAATAATGTATTCCATGACCGGCTGGGCTGAGTGAGAGTGGTTGTCCAAAGGTTTCCTAGGTGACAGAATGGAGATCTGGACCTAGATTTTCCAAGTTCTAGTCGAACAATATTAATCAAGACACCACACAGATTCTGATTATACTCACTGCCAGCCCAGCAGCTCAGGATGAATTGCTGCAGGATCAATAGGAAGCAGTAGAGAGACCAGTGTCCCATCCATACACACAAAAGATGTCACCCAACCAAGTTCAGGAGCAATTATTTCATGTTATGGCTGACATGGTTCTCTTCTCCCATATGGTAGTGGGTCTTTTCAACATTGCATAAGTATGTGGGATTAAGCCCTGTAAAATAGCTGTAGAATTGAAATGATACCACAATGGGCCTCTTCTCCATATCTGACGTAAGTAGCTAGTAGAC